GCTATTCAAGAGGATGTAGTATCAAGGTTAGCAAAAATGGTAAAGCAACATATAGATTTAAATTTTAAAACCAGAAATATTTTTGTTGGCACCCACATAAATAAAGGGATTACAATACATATTTAAAGTTACATGTGTTAACAGCGGCTAGAATTATGTTTGCACAACAGTGGAAAAACCAAGACATCTCCATAGATGAAAATGTGCAGAATTACAATGTGCAGAAATGGATAGAGATAAGAGGTAGAAATTAGGCGGAGAATGATCATTGCTATGTATGAATTAAATCCAGAAGGTTGATAATTATAAACATGTTGATATAATTAACAAAATTAGAAATAAGCCAATACAAAGAAATTTAAATAATTTTTCTGTTACACTGCTGTACTTATTGATATTTGTTTCTGCTTTGCTTTTTCATTTATGAAATATTTTATAATATAAGTACAATAGAATTACAGATGTAAGGTAAAGTAAAGATATATTGTTATAGAATAGATTGGTAATGATGAAATGAACATTATAAAATAGATTAAGTAAAAATGGTGATTTGCTCGCATAAAATGATGTAATATTAGTAAAGCCTAGTAAGTAAAGCCTAGTAAGTAATTAATAATAGTAATAATATAAATATATATAGTGGATTTATGATATAAGGATTAATGTAAATTGGAAGGGAAAGACTACAGTGTTGTAATGATGAGGCAGTCGAGTTGTTTGATCATGAACAACTGAATTATGATTATCTTTATTGGAGTATAGTCTTGCATTTATATACATTTTTAGTTATCCTCCATCATTGGTTAACTTTGGTTACTGCTTAACTTTCGTTACTGTTTAGTACAGTAATCCATACAATTAATTATCTCTAGTTAAAGTCTAACATATGTCTACTTCCCCTCTCTAATCCTCCTTTATCCATAGATTAGTGACTTTGTTTGCCTGAGCTGTATTTGCTTGGAAACATTCTTTATCTGAGGTTTGCCACCCAAGATTGGAATATTCCTGCAATTACAACTCTACAGCAGAGATTGTGCACAAGTGATTTGTACCAACTGACACACTGTATGTAATTGAAGATGGTTTATGTTTTATGTACGTTTTGTTTGTTTAAAAAAATAAAAAACTTTTATTAAAAAAATCCATTAATGTATCCATGCATGCAGGTTTTTGTTACATTGTTGCTATATATTGATTTAAGCAGAAATAGATAATGTATAACAACAATGTAACAAGAAGTTGCTTTCCTCATTTTTGGTAAGTTGCTTTTGTATTTATTTATTTTTTTAGTATCTGTTTTTGTTTTTATTAATCAAAAAAACCAAAATGGATACTAAATAAATAAATAAATAAAAATTATTTTACTATTCATCTTGATGTTTCTTTCTCCTTTGTTTTTTCCTATTGGGAAAAGGCAAATCAGAAACAAGTATCTATATATAACAGCAATGTAACATTTTGTTTCCATTTATGTTACATTGATGCTATATATAGATATTTGTTTCTGATTTGCTTTTTCCCCAATAGGAAAAAACAAAGGAGAAAGAAACATCAAAATGAATAGTAAAATAATTTTTATTTATGTATTTATTTATTTATTTACTATCTGTTTTGTTTTTATGATTAATAAAAACAAAAACAGATACTAAAAAAATAAATAAATACATAAATTAAAAAAAAGCAACTTACCAAAAATGAGCTAGGCAACTTGGCTAGCCAGCTACGTGGAGTCCTCCTCAGTCTTCAAGCTTGCTGCGGCAAGGATGGCTGGCCCAGGAGTCGGCACTCAACCAGGCAGGTGGCAGCGGTGGCAGGAGAAGGTAGGCGACTGGCGGGGCTTGCTGTTTTGCCTCCTCACTCACCCATCAGTGGTGGGAAGATAAGACAGCAACCCTTGGGCCACAGAAGGTGAGGGAAGGTGGCGCTGGCCAAGCCAAGATATTGGGTGAGGCAGCAGCTGGCAGCCCAGGAGTCGGCACTCGACCAGGGCTGGTGGTGGTGGCAGGAGGAGGTAGGGGACTGGCAAGGCTTGCTGCTTTGCCTCCTCACTCACCAATCGATGGTGGGAAGGCAAGGCAGCAACAATGGAGGGCCGCGGGTGAGGGAAGATGGCAGCGGGTGAGGCAGGGAGCATCAGTGAGGGCGGTGGGCATCCCAGGGGTCGGCACTTGACCAGGGGTGGTGGTGGCAGGTAGGCGACCGGGTCGTACTTACTGAAAGGCCAGGGTAGGCAGTCCAGGGGGGCAAGGACGGCTAGTGTTGGTGGCAGCCAGGGCTTGCGTCTTCTTTAACGGCAGCCGCCATGGGAGGCAGTCAGGCAAGGCAGGCAGGCAGGCCTGGGAGGCAGGATGGGGAAGGTAGGGCCTGGGAGTCAGGGCCTGGGAGGCAGGCTGGGCAGGGCAGGGCCTGGGAGGCAATCCGGCTGGGCGAGGGCAGTTAGGGGTGGTGGCAACTGGGGCTTGCGGCTTGCCCCAGCAGGGCAGCAGAAGGCAGGCAGCGATGGCTGGCTGGCTAGCTGGCTGGCTGGCAGGCTGCTGCTGCTGCTGCTGCTGTTGTGAGCGATGGCGCTGGGCAGGAAAAATTTTGTAGGTAGCACACATGTGCTATAAGTAGGGGTGGGGTGGGGCGGGGTGGACGGGGGAGAATGAGGCAAGGATTGCCACATGTGTGCAAAAAATGTCACACATGTGCAGTAAAAAAATCCCTGGGTTTTGGCCCATAGGAGCGGCAGAGAGGGGCGGGGCCGGCCAGGGGTCGGTTTTAGTGGTTCTAAGAACTACCGGTGATGTTAACAACCAGTTCTATAGAACCGGTGCGAACCGGTAGAATCCCACCCCTATTGATAGTGGTGGTAGAAGAGGAAGATGATCAGTTTCCCAGGAATCCTGATATATCTCCTGTCCTTTTCTGAGTTTATACCTTATAATAAACTCTGGTTATATCTTTATGAAATTGTGTTAAAGATAACACCAATGTGCCTACCATCCCTGTCCTAATGTTCCCTTTTATTCATATCCATTTTATGTATTAATAATCATTTTTATACTTTTACCTATTGTCTAATACATACTCAAATAAATAAATAAATAAATAAATAAATAAATAAATAAATAAAATAACTTCATGTCCCTTCTATATTCACTCATTCTAGGCGAAGTCCTTCCTTCCTTCCTATCCATCCATCCATCATCTATCATCTATCTGTCTGTCCATCCATCCATCCATCTATCGAATATAGATAGCTGCCCAGTTTAATCCTTGCGACTCTGGGAAGCTCATAGTAGCACACATAAAAACAGGAAATTATTAAACAACATTACAGTATAAAGCCGAGGCCCTAAAACATAAAAATCAAAGCACTGCTGTGTGTCAAACTCTACTGACAATCTAGCCCCATCATCTTTTCTTCAAGGTTTTTCAGGGTTGGGGTTTTAATTTTCAGTTGGGGTTTTCTGGATCTTCGGGAGGATACAATTTTCTTGGATAATTGCCATGTAAAGGCACATTTCCCACTAGATGTCACCTTTTTCACAAAAGGGAGCCATAGCTACAGTAGCATGCCTGCCCTGATATACCTGATAGATAGTCAGTTTGGCTTTTCAAAGAAGTAAATGGGCACTTTGAAGTACCTTAACACTGCCAGTGCTGCTGCGTTTTTTTTGAAATGCAAATAAACCTGGAAAATGGCTGGCATATAAATTGAAAATAAAGAAAGAAATAAACCGATACATAGATTAGTAGATGAGAAATTAAAAATTAAAAAATGTCTACTGCATATAAAGAAGGATCGGGAACAATTTGGCTTTTATAGAATCAACAAGAATTAGATAAAATTATATAAGGGACCGGGAAACAAATGATTAGTAAAATGTATAATATATAATGTATATTAGAATATAAAATGGAAGAAGAAACAGAAAAAAAGAAAATATGATAATCTGGGCCAAAATTTTTGGATATGGTATTGATTTGGAACAATGGGAAAAACTATGGCAAGTAAATTATAAATTAACGTTATCAGTTGCATACAAGGAGAACCTTTATAAAATGTTCTACCACTGGCACCTCCCCACAGCGAGGCTAGCCAAGATGTTTCCCAATATATCGGCAAAGTGTTGGAGATTCAACTACAGCCAAGGAACGTGTTTTCATATGTGGTGGACCTGTCCCCAAGCCCGCAAGTATTGACCCAGAAATTAAAGCTTGGTTGGAAGAAATAATAAGACAAAGAATTGAATTAAGACCTGAATTGTTTTATTAGGTTTAATAGGATCAAAAGTTAGTAGGAACTTCCAATATATTATACTCCATATAATAACCACTGCCAGAATCTCATTTGCACAAAATTGGAAACAGGACACTATCCCCTCTGAGGCAGTAATAATAAAAAAGATCCTTGAATGCGCTGAAATGGACAGGCTAACGATGATATTAAAAGAGAAAGAAGAAAAGGTATTAAGAAAGAGAAGATGATATTAAAAGAGAAATAAGATATGGAATGTTTGGTATGAGTGGTTAGAAAGAAGGCATCAATCGACATCAAAAATGAGAAAGTATTAATTAATGATGTATATATGTACATATATGTATATAGATGTTAATGGTTTTATAAATTAGATCGAGAAATAAGAATGTAAGTGAATAAGAATGGAGAAGTAATTGATATAATTTTAGACTTTATTAATTAGTATTAACACCATTATGGAATCATTGTAAAAAGTGGAAATTGATTTTTTTTAAATGTTGAAATGTTGAATAAATAAATTTAATAATTAAAAAAGCCTCTTTAAGATCCTTGCACTATATAAACTTCAGGTACATACATCCACCTATCATACTGATGATCACTTTTACGAGGAAGTAATGATTAATCTTGTTGACTTTGCAGCTTTTTGCTCTTAGAGGAGGAGAAGGGCAGGGATGGCTGGCAATGCAAAAAGGAAGTAGGTGTGGCAGAGAGAGCCCTGTTAGCAAGATGACGGTTCAGAAGTCACAAACTATGGACAGCTCCTGCTGAACTGGAGTCATTTCTCTTGCCTTCCATCCAGGCCGGGACAGTGAAGAATCTCTGAGATACAGGAATCTCCTTCCTTATCAGGGTGAGTCTGTACCTGCCTTGGAATTCTTTTTACAAACTAGAGCTCCTTTGCTTCTGAGGAGTCTTTTCTTCCAAGTTAGTCCCTTTGGAGTTAGATCAGGTTTTTTTTCACAGTCAGGCCCAAAACACTCCCCCTCCCCTCTTTTTTTAAAACCTCTGTCACCATAGGAAATCTACATCCTTGAAATGTTGTTGTTGGTTTTCTGGTCAGACATCCTCTCTGCATTATTACAAAAAATAATAATAATCCTCTCCCTGTAAAGGAGACGGCTTTTGTCTGAAGGAAATCCTTGTGTAAAGTTTGTCTAGTTTCTGATTTTGTGAGGAAGAGTTAAAAGCTTATTCTTTCTCTCCCTCCCTCCTTAATACTTCCTGAGGTGACGCCAAAAAAGCATAAATAGAGAGGCAAGTGTGTGTGTGTTTGTGTGTGTGTGTGTGCTATTTATATATAGTCAAGGACATGCTAATTAAAAAAGAAAGCACGAGGAGAAAGCAATCTGCCTCTGGAGTTTGATTGTGCCTAATTTCTTACCAGGGAGGTGTGGAAATCAATTGTGCAGTGGTGGCACTACGATTCTGGTTTCAGTGTTAAATACATAGGCACAGGTTCTGATCAGTTGGCAATGCAGAAGAAAGGGGTGGGAACATTTCTCTTTCTTACTGAAGTAACTTTTTAGGACAATGATTTCTTAGCTGAACAAGTTACAGTTACATGACATGGTTTCCCAACAATTGAATAATATGCAGAGGGCCATTTAGAAGGAAGAAGCCTCTAGATGAGAAAAAAGATGATTTGGACATCAGGACATGTCTATGTGTGGTTTTAAAGAACCCAGTGTGGTTAGCCATAAGTTGGTGGCAAAAGAAACATGTGAATGTGGGCTACGCAGGCAGAGGAAAAGTCTGAAGTCTGTGGGCAGCAGCATCAACAACCTCCCTCCCACAACTCATCCAAAAACATCATTTTCCTCAGAGGAGGTGAGAGGTTGCATACGCAATATGCCTGTATTCTTTCAGTGCATGGTTGGAAGCAATTTTCTGAGATATATGATTGAAATCTTGCGATGGATTAGCCAAGTTGCTAAACCGTCAGAACTCTGGTTATTAAAATGCTGAACCAGAAGCTTGGAGGGGAGTTCCCTGCTGAGAAACAACATACAGATAGTAGAAGTGAATAATGCTAGTAGAGGTATGCTTGCCTACCAATATAGCCTTTTTATTCATATTCAACAAATTATTTATTTGGGGTTAAGGGGTTGAACTAGTTAAAATCATTGTTCTGTGATGACTGTTTTTGTTCATAAATACACAAATCATACTATTTTGGAATTAATATTTTCAGAATGTGTTTTCAATAGCTGCAGTGAATATTAGAATCTAATATAAATGAAGCAGTGCCTTCTCTATGATCATCTGTAGGTGAGAAATTCCAATGTGGAAAATTATTTCCTTTTTTCCCCTTTCTCCCTTTTCCCCTTTCTCTCCTCTCCTTTCCTTGATCCTGAGGCTGCAGTATATTCTTAATACAAGTTTATGTGTATGCTTTTCCTTCAGTCAATTTAATTTTTTTTTTCTTGGAGGAACTGAAAGTAAGAAAATCAAGGATTACTGCTAGTTTAGTTTTGTGATAAGGATGTTATGCCAATAGACAAGGTGAGCCCCAAACAAAGGGAAACTAGCATACGAGCACCCATTACTTCCTTACATCTGAGAGAAAAAAGGGCTGTTATTTCTGCTTCTTTCAGGTAAATGACCAGGGAAATGATCTTGCCATTTCTGTCCACTCCAGATCATTCATCTTTCTCCTGCCCAGAAGTAGAACAATAAAGTGTCTTCCTGAAGTTTACTGCCTGTAGGCCTTTGTATTACCTGGTGTGTATTGCCTAATTTAGCAAATCCAACAATAATTAACTATTTTAATGGCTTCAATCTGTAATGTTTAGCCTAAAGAGTCCTTTAATCATAAGGGTATAAGATCATGATTGAGATTTGCCTGTACTGGAGAACTTTGACTTCTTCATTCCCTTTATCATCAATCAGATTTAAGAAGACTAATTATTTGCACTCTGCATACATACTTTCTCCAAAAGTAAGCATGAAGCCCTTCTTTGTTTCTGTGGGAATGGCATCCCTCTTACAGTGGCTCTCAAGAAGAGAAGCCAAGGTAGTCCTCAACTTACAACCACAACTGAGCCCAAAATTTCTATTGCTAAATGAAACATCTGTTAAGTGAATTTTACCCCATTTTACAACCTTTCTTGCCACAGTTGACAAGTGAATCACTGCACTTAGTTGATAAGTTAGTAACCCGGTGGTTAAGTGAAGTTGGTTTCTCCATTGACTTTGCCTGTCAGAAGGTCACAAAAGGAGATCACATGACCCCAAGGCACTGCAACGGTCATTAATAGAAATCAATCTGAATTTTGATCACGTGACCACAGGGATGTTGTAACAATTGTAAGTATGAAAAAAGTTCACAAGTCACTTTTTTCAGTGCCGTTGTAACTTGGAATGGTCATTAAATGAACAGTTGTAAGTCGAGGTCTGCCTGAATTCCTTCTCCATCTCTCTTTTCCTGTTCAGTGAGCTGTTGTCCTTCCTTCCTCTAATTCAGACTTAAAGATAGAGCTACTGGTTCTAAACTGCAAAAATCTGGACAATAATTTATTAATGTTTTCTGTGTATCCTGCTGCCCAGGTTTTACTCTGTGGTAAGATGGCTGGCTAATATATTATAACAGAAAGATAAATAAATAAAACTTTGATGCCACCTAATGGCCATTTGGACTTTTGCAGCCAAGATCTGGTACATTTTGATAATTAGATATTATTCTCTGTGTAATCTCATGGATGCAAGACATCCATCCTTCCACGAGGACTTGAAACATACCATAGATGTCTGAAGCTGGAGGGTCCACAACAAGAGAAAAATAAACCTAAAATAATTTCTACTCTGTAAGCTGCTGCATGCTATACAGGTA